CAAAACCCAACTCTCATGGCATTAGAAAGAGGATCATGAAAAACCTATAAAAAAATGGTTCATGAAATTTTAGTTCACTCATAAAGCTAAAGTCCGCTTGCTCTAGCTAAAAATGCCCACTGTGTCCGCTATAGTGTCAGTAAAACATATAGGATATTCAAAATTCGAACTGAAATTCATTGGATGAAAATTTTAGATTTAAATAAGCTTCAAATAACATTTCATTTCCGCATAATTCTTTGTTATGCTCAAGCGTAACTACTAAGATCTCCGATGAAGGCGCCACTAACAGATTGTGTTGGAGATCCATCGTGAGGCGCCCTCATCGGAGATCTCAGTAGCTACGCTTGAGCATAACAAAGAATTATGCGGAAATGAAATGTTATTTGAAGCTTATTTAAATCTAAAGTTTTCATCCAATGAATTTCAGTTCGAATTTTGAATATCCTATATGTTTTACTGACACTATAGCGGATGCACTTAGTCGTCAGTCCTCATACCATATGGTCTTAGTGTACTGTTTCATAGGATCATATATGATTATTTATGATCTTACTACGATTTGTATGAATTCAGGCGTAAAGTCGGAGAGTACGAAAGTTCATATGATTTCGTCTGATCATATCCATTCTTAGTAAGATTTGTTGACCTAGATAGAAAAGAATGCTAATCTATGTGGACGGATATCTTTTTACTGAAGCTTTACTGATGCTGGATAAATGAGGGAGATATCAAAGAAACGTATTGTTGTGCAGTAGTTTATACTCGCATGAAGGATTTGGTTCTTCTTTTCTAAACAGTATCCAACCATTTTTCAAAAACATGGATTTTAGACGAAACTTCAGTGTAAAACGTCTTGTACATTCTCATATGTCGTGATGCACAAGAATATTGTAGACATTTCTTACAAAATCTTTCAAGATCTAATTTCAAGATGCATTAATCTGAAGGTAGGGGAACCGTGTGATAATTACCAATGCTATAGAATACCGTGTGCTTTAATGTGTTCTGTTCAATTGAAATGGAAGAGAATTATTCGTGGAATTGACGTCGACAGAAGTACCTATAGTATATAAAGACAATGATTCATGGATTTACCACCTAGGTTGTAGAAGACGTCTTTTTTATTTTTGTTGTTACTCACTAATTTTGAATAAAAAACAGGTATTTTACAACAACAAACAGGTTATTTTATTTTTACGTTTTTTAATAATATTGCAGAGCACGATTTTTACATACAAAAGAAAAAGGAAGAGAATGCAGCGAAACCATGGATTTTTATGCGTAATTCTTTTTGTTCGTGAAAAAGAATGTTTTACTTACCAGAAACATTAATTATTATTATTTTTTGAAAAAAATAGAAATATAATTCCTTGAAGCAAGGACACACTGGGATTGATGTTATTAAACATGAATACTTATTTAATGAGTCTCACGTTGTTTGTACTCGTGTATGATCAAGCGAGTGCACAAACATACGTGTGTAGTTCAAATGCTCAATGTGGATGTTCACAATATAATCCTACTCTAACACGAATTGTAGGTGGTGAGGATGCCGGTATCTCGACTTGGGGTTTTGTTGTCTCCATACGAATTTCTGGTAGTCATATCTGTGGTGGCACAATTTTGTCGAGCACTTTAATACTCACAGCTGCACACTGCGTCGCTGCATTTCCATCTTCATTATCGTCAGTTACTATCGCTGCTGGTAGCAATTATCTAAGTACTCCAAATCAAATACGCTTAGTACAACGAACTCATGCTAATACAGGCTATACTACTGGAACATATATTAATGATATTGCCACTCTTGTTCTCCAGTCTCCATTGGACTTAACCGATCTACGTGTAACAACAATATGCTTACCAAATATTTCATCAAGTTATCTCAGCTCGAACGAATATCCGTCGGCAAATTCGGCTTTAATTGCGATTGGTTGGGGAGTTCTGTCGGCTGGAAGTACAACAGTGTCGAATAGTTTGAAACAAGTAACAATACAAGCAATTACAGCAAGCAACATATATTGTAGTCGAATAATCTCGAATTCAGTCTACCAGTTTTGTGCTGGAAATCTCACTGGTGGACGAGGTATGTATTTGCTCATCTAATAAACAAATACGTTTGGAGTACTTACGTATCGATTAATAATCGATGTTTTGGCATTCAAAAAAATCGCTCCCAATCGATTATGAAACATCGTCTCAAGCTGCCAAATATCCCATTTTGAAAATATGATAATCGAAAATGCACCAAAATCGCAAAAGAATAATCAATGATCTATTAGTTTTTCGCGAATTTGCACATTTTTAAGTGCTTATATTTCTATCATGAATAACATCAAAATATTTTAGTTTTCTAGAGCAAACATTTCTCTACACCAATGAGACATTCGGCACCTCTCAGCAATGTTTTATAACCGATTCAAAACGATTTCTTGAATGCTCTAACATCGTTTATTAATCGACTTATATTTAATTTGGAGAAAATAAGTTGAAAGTGACGATAATTAAAAAATTTTTTTTGCTTATTATTTTTAGACACATGTCAAGGTGATAGTGGTGGTCCGTTACTCATGTTTATTAACAGTACTCAACAATGGCAAATAGTTGGTATCACCAGTTATGGATATAGTTGTGCTGTAGCTAATGAACCTGGCATATACACTCGAGTTGCATATTACCAAAACTGGATAAGTCAAAATGGAGTCACTAAAATACATCTTATTGACAAGTATGTCTATCATTTATTAGTATTTCTTGTATTATTTATATCAAGAATATAATATTACAGCTGATATTGTCTACATTACTGTCTCAATCATTTTGTATTACAATTAAGACCGATTAAAATGTATTTATATTAAAATATATTTTTATATTTTTATATATTGTTTATATTTTAAAGCCTTGTATGTATACATTTTTATTTTTGAGAGACTACTATTTTATATTCTGATTTCAGATGCGTTGACAGAAAAAATTTTTAAATATCCATTTTATTTATTATCAATATGTCAGATTTTTTTGATCTCTACTGTTTAATACAAAATAGTTGTTTACTTTGTTTACGTTGGTTTTTAGAATGAAGGAAAAGTAAAGATACCCGAAATGAAAAAGTTTTATTCCAGGATTTGTTTGTCAATGTAAAACGAAAGAACCTATCAGAGTTTGACGATTCTTGAATAGATATTCTTATAACAAGTTGCTTGAACTTGCAAGAATTTCCACATACAAGAACGTATCGGATCTTACAAGAAATTCATTTAAACATTCCAGCTGTTATGCCTGTCGTTTTCTATCAATCTCTCCTTCTCTCTCTATTTTTTCGTTGTTTGACATCTTCCATCATAGGTGGGATTCTGACATCCTACGATGTGCTTAGTCACGTCCCTAATGACTCAAGAACTCTATGATAAGATCCTGCAGAATTTCCATATAACTAATTCTATCAGCATTCAGTCCACTGAAACATTCTTTGTACTTTCTATGATAGAAAATAACAGGACTTTATTATGTTGTTACCTTTTACACTGAAGTTTCGCGTAAAATCCATGTTTTCTTCTTGATCTGTATTAGTGATGTAGACGGGCTTATATGCGGTACCATGAAGGAACTATTAAAAACTATTTATTGGAGTATTATTTACCGAAATTATATACCTAAATATTTAAATTTTAGAAAAATCAGATTTTTATGCTTTTCAGAAAACCTCGTCTGGAGTTCTCAAAATTCCTTAATAGTGGTCAGAACGTTGTGGATTCTAAAAGTAGACATTCTAGGCTATTCATCCATATGTTTGACTCAGTATCGATATTTTATAAAAAACAATGCGTATTTTGGACAGGGTAAGCCCTTAAGTGTGTTTATCCATATGTTTGTACTACAAGGAGAGAACGGAAAAAAGTTTGTTACACAGAGGCAAATGTACGTTAAGTACAGTTAAATATATCGCCACTACGACAACAGCTGCTCTCTCTCTTCAGCAGGATGTATAAATCTTATATTATTCAAATAAAGTATGATCGTCATAGTAGCAATTATTACTATGAGCTACGCTCAAAAATTTTCACGTGCTATAAAACAAAGTGTTCTGATATGGGAGAATATTTTTGTCCACCAACAAAAATACGAACCTGATAGTAATCTTAGTCAGTAGATTGATGACTTTGCTAAAATATATATATTATAGTGATATCCTTGCCCTTTAGCTTGCGATCCGTGCTTCTACGGTTTAAAATTTATTGTCACCTCAGAGCTACAGAAAGAAGAAGCAAAGATGAATTCAGAGATTTTGTTGTAAATTCTATAACTTTGCAAAGAAAGGTCTTGTGGAGCTGGGAGATATCTTATTTTAATCAGAATTTCGCGAGCTACAGTTGTGGCTTATTCAGAAAAACTCTTGGGGATTTTTCGAGGTTTCTGGAAAACCAGTTTTTCGGAAAGGTCTATGGGCAGAAACGGCTATCATATTCGGAATCAGTATGGCCGATTACCTATAAACTACCGCATTTCGTTTGAAAAGCGGTCGGACACCTGGAAAGGTTCCCTCGTGAGTATTACATTCTTAAGAATAGGTAAGCAACAACTTTCGAGGCGCCTTTAATTACAAATTTTGCTTTAACAAAGTCTGATATTGAAAGAAAGCTTTTTAATTTATTTTATGTGCGATACATCTGGAGGTGTAACTTGAATTTTTAAATTATGATGCATAGAATTCTTGGCAATTATTGGACTTGAATTCGAAACGAGAGTGATTATTTCTTTTCAGCTACAGGACAACTGTCTCATAAATGACTATAGTTTTTAATATTTATCATAGAAAGGGATAAAAACAGTGACTTGTACAAATCTACCTATTTTTTTTCTTTTTAAGTACTATGATTTGACTCAACACTGCTAAACTAAAATTATTCATCAGTTTTTTATTATCAATGTGTTAAAATTATTATTTTTTTCTTCTATGTACACCATACATCGAAGAAAAATCAAAGTATTAATCAAAAAGAAAATATGTTATAAACTATCAGAAACGATGGGTTCCAGCCCCAATAAAAAATAAATGACGTAATAAATAAAAGGCTATTTTTTTATCATATACAAACCCGCTATTGTAATTATTAACAAAACATAATTGATGTTCATCAAATTGTCAGTACCTGAGGTGCCTAATTTAATAATAGATGCTGTACATAAAGTATTATTCTGGCTCAGAACACAGTCGATCCAGTCTTGGTAATTGGCCACTCGAGTATAAACACCAGCAAAGTTCGGCGATGCACATCCTACACCGTAACTAGTGATACCAACTAATTGCCATTGTTGACTGCTCTGAACAAACATCATCAGTGGACCACCACTATCACCTTGACACGTATCTAAAAACAACAAACAACATCTTACTTTGAATTATATGTTTTAATACAAAAAATAGTTTCTCTTTGGTACCTTTTCCTGTGCCACTTGCACAAAATTGTTCGGACGTATCCGATATTACACCCTTACAACTGGAATCCGTGTTTTTTATAACTGTTAATGTTACTTGTTGAAGCGTCGATGACACAGTACGACTTCCCGAACTGAGTACACCCCACCCGATGGCGACCAAGGACGTACCCGGTAGTGGATATTCTTGTGCTAAAGTTGTTGTAACATCTGGTATACAGATGATAGAGAGTGCCGTATCTGACATATCTAATGGGGAAGATAAACGCAATAAAGCAATATCATTCTCATAGGTGTTAGAATTATAATTAATATGGATAAAAATTTGAGCAATTGTTCGTACTTGATCTGTTTGCGATAAAGTATTAATACCAACATAAATTGATGCACTTTGAAGAGATGTAATTGCTAGTGCACAATGTGCAGCTGTTATCACATAAGAATCAGTTAAAATACTTGCACCACATACATGAGAACCCGATATTCTGAGCGAGACAGCCCATCCCCAACTATTTGATACAGCTTGTTCACCGCCAACAATTTTTGAGAGTATAGCATTTTGTTTTGAACAACCACAGGCTGAATTAGGATTACATGTATAAGTTGTTGTTTCTGTTTTACCAGTATCAATTGCGTAAGAGAGATATATGAGTACTAAATGTAGATACATGATGTACGTCAAAATGTCAATTGACTTTTATTTTTGCGTACGTTTTGCTTCCATATATGAGAATAGGTTTCTTATATGTAGATGTTTTTATTTTTACTTTTTTTAAAGAAACTATATATTATTTTTGCAAGAAAAAACGAGAAAAAAAAAGAATATTTCGTAGTCATAATAATATATTATAAACCAACAACAAATTTCTAAAGTTGACAGTATTTTTCTTTTCCATCCTACGTAGCTTTTTTTTTTCCTGTAAAAAATAGAAAAGTAGCACACGTAAAAATAAAATCATGTCATATACACATGTTCAAACACATAACTTCGTCGTAATATGAGTCATTCAGCTTGTGGACAAAATAATTCGTTTTTATGTACAACATGACGTTTACTTTTATTAGTCATTTATAGACCAAAACTTTCTCATGATTTCTCTGTGTATAAAAACTTTTAAGAATAAATATAATGTCAAAGTATCGTTGTATTGACTACATAATTTTTTCTCTTGTTTTCAACTAATCAGTTTTTGATCTTCCCATTTTTTTATCTATATAGATAGCCCTAGATGTTCGAGTACTGAATTTATTCCGACAGCTGTGTTTCATTTATTGCGTCTGAAGGTGTGATCGTATGTCCCTCTGAAAAAGTGGAAAGATCGAAAGTGTAGTAGAGGAGAAGCTCAGAAAATCAGAAACTTTTGTTATGAGACAGGAATAGGGTGAGGCCAGTGAGGGATGGTATGAGAAGATAAAAGGATCCTAAGTGCAGAAAACGAGAGAAGCAGTATAGGAGATGATCAGAAGTGAGAAAGATCTTGGAGCTTGAAGGAATACGACTCATGGAATAAGTTTCATGTTCAGACAACTCCTTAAACAATCGAACAAGGCGAAGTCGAATACTGGTTACTGACACTCTAAACTGATAAACTAGCCTTCCGCAGCTAAACACTAGAAAATCATACTTCAGATGTGGTTGACTATACTGATCTAATTATACCAAAAGGATACTATAATCGACGTAAAAGGGTTGAATTGATGTGACATGGTTTCAAATTCTGACTACACAAAGCATATCTCATAAAAACTGTTGCAACAAAAGTTGTTCCCTATAAAATTCTACGTGGAATAAGGGGAACAGTTGTTTTTTTCTAATGACAAAACCTTTAAAAAATTATTAATTATAAAATTTTAAAATTAAAAATGTTTTAATTTTCATGTAACTTCTGTTCAGAATTTTTTCTTGAAATTCCATTCCGCTTATTCTATGCAGAATAACATCTGCTACAACTTTGTCAGCGAAAAATTTTCTCAGAAAATTCTTTGTTATCGCGCAATCACTGACAAATTTTTCAAAAATTACTTTTTATGGTTAAAAATAGAAAAAACACTCTTTTTACAATGTTTAGTTAAAAAACCTATGTCGTTCGCAAACTTTTCAAACCTTTTAAAGTTTATTATATACAGCCAAAGATTGTCTACAAAATAACTCTACCGCGACGTTGATCGGACATTCCAATAAAATATAATGAATTATTTTACAATACCATTGAAATTGAAAGTTTAATGAAAAACTTAAGTAATTAATAACTTTGTGAATAGTTATCAGTTCATCGAGAAAACTGAAGGATATATGTAATCAAGTGTCCTCTTCAAACTGACATAAGTTGAGGGCACATTTTGAGGAGTGGACTCCACTCCCCTTAACTCATTTAATTCATTTCATGTTCTTCTTGTTTGTTCATTTGACTCATTGTGTTTTACTACTTTTTTACTCTCTCTATGACTAGATATAGCGTTTAATGGTGATCTTATTAGTCCCTTTTGCTATATCCCAGCTATATGCTGAATAAACTGAACAGAACCGAACAATATTGTTATTTTCATTTTTTTAAGAAGAACCAATTCATATATGTCAAAAAAATTCATCCAATGCCGATCCTTCTTGTATCTCATCAAAATATCTTCCAATGTCTAATCGTGACTTGATCAACACAGAAATGATCTGTATCCCAAAATATTCTGTCTTCATTAAGATACTTGAGATGTCTTTTTTTCTTTTGAAAGTATGTTTGAAATAAGACGTAATTCGAATAAGAATAGAAACACAAGCTCCTATAAACTTACTCGCTATATTTTTCGAATTATTCAGATGATTTACCGACAGAATACCGAAACAAAGGCTCTCTATCGTTTAATCTGTTCGCAACTTGAACTCAGGATTTCAAATGTCGCTGATGGGTCGATCAAGCTATACCATTTATGAAAGACAATAACCTTATGAAAGAACATTCTCAAAATATCAAGCAGGCATACACCAGTTAAAAACTGATGTTAGGACTTCCACGAAAATTGTTATAAGTCGCCTATAAAGAATTACTCAGAGCTGCAGAACTTCTCATTTTGTAGAGAAATGCTTACACTTGAGAATTCAACTGTGAAAAAGTAATTGAAATTATTTCTAGCAAAAATATGAGCATTCTAAAATGCACTGAAGTTAGAAAAAAACCCTGTTCGAACAGGTTTTTTTCTGATTTTAGTGTATTTTAGAATGCTCATATCTGTATCACAGATAACGTTGAAATTTTTCTAGTTATATGGGATTGTAGTTCAAATATATCTCTACAAAATGAGAGGTTCTGCAACTCTGAGTAATTCTTTATAGGCGACTTATAACAATTTTCGTAGTAGTCCTAGCACCAGTTTTTTAACTGGTGCATGCCTAAATTCAAGAAGTGATCGTCGTTAAATATTTTTTAATGGATCATAATGATGGCATTTAGATCGATGTGGAGACTGAATGTTTCAAGCCTCTCTTAACATCAATTAATATAGAAGATTAACTATGATCAAGACGAATCAATAGCAGCAATGTCTGAAACAAAATTATTTGAAGTATCAAATAATTTTATCGTTTGAGACAATCGGACCAAATGAAACAAAACTTCTTGTACAAACTAAATTTGTTTTGAACATAGAAGTAGCTATCACGATTAAAACTTTCGAAATAATGAATACATAGAAGAGAGTTTGTATGCGTGAAAATTTGATAGTTTAATTGCAAGGTGAATAATAAAACAGAAGATTAAATTCTGCTATACATCATTGCTGCAGTCTTTCCAGTTTGCAAGCTAATTGACTTTAAGCCTACCAGAATTTAATTTTTCTTCTACTTCACGAATGTGATATTCGTAAAGGTACACGAATGAGATATGTCTACCTAATGCATTTCTTATCAGCAGATAAAACACAAAATAAACAACATATTCTTTTGTTTTCATTCAAAACAAAAGAGGACAAGAAAATGGTTAATTTGTTTATTTACTGTCTTTTCATTAGTGTTTGCAGATCTGCAAGTGTTCCAGGATTAAAAGGTCTTTCTGGATGGCAAATCCTGGTAATGGCTATCGTTATGGATCATCAATTTTAATCAATGATGACAATAGTATAGACATGTGGACATGTTCTCCTGGTACCGATGGAGCATGGGATTTTATTCGTTATCGCCTCTCTTCAGATAATGGTCAAAAATGGTCGTCAGATGACATAGCTCTTCGACCGACATCCGGTAGTCGTGATGCATATTCAGTATGTGATCCGGGTGTGTTAAAAATTGATAAGTATTGGTACATTGGATACACGTCCACAGAAGATTCAACAGGAATGAATAATCAATTGTATGTAGTATGATCTCTCGTACCGAACGACTCGTATTAAAAGTGGAACGGGAGCGGATGGGATATAAAAAATCCTCAACCAATTGTAACTTATACAGGCGATCCAACAAAATATGGCAGCGGTGAACCGTCAATGGTACGCCTTGATGATCAGATATCTGTCTACTATACAAATACTGACACATATGGAGGTCATACAGATTTGTCAGCAGCCACGGTTAGTGATCATGAAGATAGTTGGCCATTATATTTACAAGCAAAAGGACACGTGATAACTCGGCATCTAAATAGAGAAGATACAACTAATATCAAATGGGTGCCAGAATTGGAATTTTTCATAGGTGTTACAACAGTTGATCGTTTTACCTCTGAATCAAATGTAGGTGTTTATCAGTGCAAGACGGTATTCAGTGGTCAATGACTTCTTATACACGTGAACGTGTTCAACAAGGCGCTCATAATATTGGAATCAGTGGTGATACATCGGGTCATTTTTATATGTCGAAAAATACCTTCATTGCCTATGCTTATCAACTTGATGGCTCATCAGGGGCAAATTGGCCAACGCTTTTGAATCCTGTCACATTAGCAAAGGTACCTATGGGAAGTCCAGTGGATGAAAAAGTTTCCTCAATTTTTAATATGACAGAATGGTCATGGTCCTTATGCCTGGGATAATAATACAGCAACAGTCTTGTCTAGTCAAAATTCGGTTCAAGAAGATGGGATTGCTACTGATCTCGGACAGATATTTAAAACCCTTGGTATTATTTTATATCCACGTGTGGAGTTATACAAAAATTACGTAATCGATACACTTTAGCGTCTCAAAGTTCGTGAAGCTTATTGAACCAACTTTTTGCACCTTTTTCGTATGGATCTTTGAATGGTTATGAATTTCCAATTGATTTTACGATACAATCCTTAGTGACAATGGATGGCAGTGTATGGCAAAATGTGCTAGGACAAAACATAACAAATTTTCCTAATCCAGGAAATCAATCTGTTCATCGTCCATTTCTTGTTCTCTCGTATGCAAGATGGTTTCGTATATTGGCGACAAAACTTGGAAAAGACAATCACGGAAACTCTTATTTTCAACTTGCTGAACTAGCAACTTCAGTATTATATTGATTATATCTTTTTGATGCAGTGTTACGTCTGTGGGTGCATGTCTGGCCTATGGTAATTGCATTCTGTATTACCACGGATACGTGTTGATGCTGCTTGTTTATCTTATCATGAAATACGTAACCTGCAGTGCAAAAGTAATTCCCAAAATCTCCAGCCATGGTTCTCCGGTCAGGAACATCGCAGAAAGTTCATTCATTTTGTGGTTGAAAGAGCAAAGCCTGAACTTTAAAAACATAGGAACAAATTAGGATTGACTTTGAGGAAGAAAGAAGTACGATACCAAATGTCGTTTAAAAAGTTCTTGCAACTTTTGTCATCTTCAAACGTATCTCACTCATCAAATCTATTTTTCTCTAAAACAGAATACGTTTAAAATTACATAATTATAGAAACCAGAAGTGTTTTAATCACTCTTTCAAATGGGGTATGGGAAATTATGCTTTGATCCACTTTTCGACGGAACTGTGTAAGTTTTTCATTAGTTTCAAAAAACAGATAATTAGACTTAATTAATAATTTGCATATTATAATATTGGACGAATTTTCCTCCTTTTTCTAAAACACATTTTGGGGAACCGTATGCAATTCTCTACAAATTCACGTTAGTTTTAACCTTTACTAACATGTTTAGAGCCCCGAATAACGAATTGTTCTTCATACCCCATCTGTTCCATGCAAAGGAGTGCTTTCTATCAAAACTAAGATTTATAATGCGCTTTATTTACTGTTAAAGAACTACTGAGAAACTTCTCAAAGTAGAGAAGTCGATAGAATTTTGCACGGGCTACTTTTTCATCTATCTGGTTTTCAAGAAAACATTTGTCTTCACACTCTAGTAAAAAATTAAGAAAACAAGTACATTGCAAGAGCTTTTTTAGCGACATTTGGTATCGTACTTTTTTCTTCCTCAAAGCCAATCCCAAAAATTTTGTTTCCTATGTTTTTTAAGGTTCAGGCTTTGCTCTTTCAACCACAAAACGAATCCTGCAATGCTCCTGGCCGGAGAACCATGGTTGGAGATTTCGGCAATTACGTTTGCACCGCAGATTATTGTTTGAATACGCAAATCAATGATTTTTCGAGACAATCGTAATTATTACTAACCAGAGCTATCTATGAGTATTTATGGAAGAACGTCTGATGCCCACACTAAAATAACACGAACATTTTTCATCATTTTATTTTGGTAAGGGTATCATTAACGTCTGCGATGTTTCATACGAGTAACTCAACTACTCGGATTAATTTTCACTCAAAATATTTCAGATGTGGTAACTAAGTAACAACAGTAGGAAAACATGGCACTGAGTCGAAACTCACACACTAGTATTGTCTACAGATAAAACAACGCAAAGTTCTAGTGATGTTTATTGCCACTGTTCATCGTCTATACTAAGGTAAGCAGAGATTTTAGAAAAACAAGTAAAATGAGAATAAACATCTAAACTGAACATATTTGAAAAGAACAATATGATGATAGTTATTGAAAAGTCGCTTTCATCTATAAAACTTCATTTTATAAAAACTTTCATTTTATGAAAGAAAAGGTAAAACTTTTTCTTCACCTTTAACCTTCTTTTCCTATTTAGCTTTCTTAAGCCACATCATGTTTTCAGACTTTTCGAAAACATGGTACAGTGAGATTTCTCATGTCTTTTCGATCAGGCGATAATCTTTATCTGCAGAGTCAAATGGTTAGTCAACAATCTTTCTGATACTATTCACTCCTTCCTTTATCTCTATCGAGTATTCTGTTGAATTCGAGAGCTTTCATTTGTTTTGTAAAGCAATAGTATATCGCCGTTTACTGCTATCTGAAAAACTGGCTTTTACTTTACGTGTTATTGATAATATACTGAAATATAATGTTATTCAATTTAGAAAAGATATGATATCGATGTTCTAAGGAGTATTTTTACTAGTACTACTATCGGCGCCAAAATATAGTGCGGCTAACTGTTTTTCGACTAACTATTTATAGGAATAAGATAAAGACCTGTGATTTTCGCTATTCGATAGCCAAGAC